CATACCTGAACCGAGGATTTTCTTCAAATCTTCGGCAGATGGGGAGGTGTTACCTCCCAATAGAGCCAACAAATAAGCAGCAACAACCTTCATTCTGCTACAACGAAACAAAAAATTTCAACAAACAAATCGAATATCCTCCTCTAAAGTAAAACAAACGCTGATTTTGAGATGGAGAAGGGATGAGAATGAGGAAGACGACGATACCTGTATTGCGTTGAAGCCGATCTGTATCTCTTGCCTCCTTTGTGTGTTTAGGGTTCAGCAGACTTGTTGAAACCCTAACTCGATTTATAAGTATTAATAGCTTCGGCCTTCCCGGTGTTCTTTAGTGGGCTACGATTGATGCATTGGTTATGGGCCGGACTTATTCTTTATTATAGCCTGATGATAACAAAAACTTTCTAGATTGGAAATAAGATGAATAAGGATGTTTATTTTTATTTTTACTATTTTATCAAGAATAAGTATAATAATATCATGAATAAGTATAATAAGTATACTAGTTTGGATCGAAACAAATAAATATTAATTTGTGTTCTGACTAGTTAACTTTTTTTATAACTGTTTTTCAATTTTTTTTATGCTTTCATGCAGTGGCGAATTTAGAACCAAAATCAACGTCATTTCTTATATAAATGAAATGGAAAAAAAAATATGAAAATATAGGTTTTTTGGCAAAAATACGGTAATTCCTTATATTTTTTATATAGAATTATTGTATTAAAAAGGAAAAAATGTAGGTCCTAGGACCCACCTTCACATAGTGTAGCTATGCCCTGCTTTGATGTAATAAAAACAATTAAAAAAAATTATTCTAAAACACTGATATACATTTATATAATTAAGATAAAGTACGACACAAATCAACTCGGTAGTCAGATAGTCGTAAAAAAGCCATTGCGAGTTGAAGGTATGGTATGAATTCGAATTAAAAACATAAAACAATAACAATAAGGATAAATGACTTAGAAAGGTAATTACGTTTTAAAATTGTTCAAAAAATATCATTCAAATTTAGTCAGCACAAAATATATTAATGAACCAAGGTCTTTGTACACAAAATATCATCAAAGTGTATGTGTGTTCAAATTACAACTTATGGTAACCTATTATTGGTAAACAAATTAAATGGAAAATTATGAATTATATGGCTTGGACTGATTGGGAAAATGACTTATGGTGATAATAATGTTTCAAATTTGTTCAAAAAAACATCATTCAAGTTTAGTAGGTATAAAAAAAATAACAGTAAAGTAAGACCTTTTGTATAATAATACCTTTTAAGTACACGTTATGTTTAAATCACACCTTAGGCCGAGGGGGTGGTGGTGAGCTCACCGAGCTCAGTGGCGGAGCTATGTGGTTTTTACAGGGTCCCAGGCTATTACTCCGCTTCAGACCCGCAATGTAAAAAAAAATGTTTTTCTATTAAGGTGCAACGACTATACATATAAGTGCAACTACTATTTTGTCTGTGCAACTACTACCAAAAGATTTTGAGTCCGCCACTGATTGAGCTCCACTACAACTCCATCAAGGAAGAAACAGGGAAGAACGGAGAAAGAAGAAGAAATGGTGTAGGGTGCTAAGTGGCGGAGAAGAAAGGGGGCGAATGGAGGAAGAAAAAGAGAGACTTGACATGTCATTGCCAAGAACCATTGTTGAGCTTTGCTTGCCGAGGTCAGACTCGGTGTTTGTTGAGTCCAAGTTAGGGGTGAGCATTTGGACCTAACCGAACAGAACCAAACCTGTTTCGAAGACTATTGTGCACCGTGGACCGGATCGGATGAGACTTACCGGGTTCAAGTCCATGTTCGGGTTTTCTGGTTCTTGGACCCGTTTGGACCGGTATAACTTACATGCATACGGTATAACTTGTTAAAACGCGTTTTTGGGTTTGATACAACTCGTTAAAACGAATATGTTGTTGGGTTTGATACATTACAACTCGTTAAAATGAATATTTTTTTGGGTTTGATACAGTACAACTTGTAAAAATGAATATATTTCCGCTTCTTGTGCCCTTTGGACCAGTCAAACTTTGATTGCTTAAACTTTATATCATTTAATTAAAGGATTGTAACTCATTGACTATAACATTAAAAAGAACAAAAGTATAGTATAAACTCATCTACAAACTATACATTACACGTTGGAAAAAACAGTATGTCAATTTGACTTAAAACAAATAAAATATGTTTGTTTAAAGAATTTTACAGAATACAAAAGTTTAAATTTCCTGCTGAAAAGCTAAAATATTTCAGCTTTAATATATCATATTTGAAATATTGTAACTTATCGAATATAACACAAAAAACAATAAAATTATATTTTAATATGATCTACAAACTCTAAATTACACCTTGGAAAAAACTGTATGTCAATCTGACTTAAAACGAATGAGACATGGTTGTTTAGAGAACTTCACATAATACATTTTTTTATAATATATATATATATATATATATATATATATATATATATATATATATATATATATATATATATGCCAGTTCAAAACTGGATTTTAATTGGAACCAATTGGACTGAACCGGTTTTGCTCAAACCCTAAAACTGAGAATCAGCCCGGGGGTCCAAAAAAACGGTCTAGTCCGGTCCACAGGTCCAAAGGTTCACCCCTAGTCCAAGTCACCACTGTCGAGGATGTGCCGAGTCCACACCGTGCAAACCTTATGCTAAATGAATGCTTTAAATAAGTGGCTGACTTGGCGTATATATTGCTTAGTTAGCATATTTAATGCTTAGTTAACATATTCACTGGTATTTTTTATATTATCTAAACTCAAATGATATTTTTTTAAACAATTTTAAAATTTAAGTACTCTCCTAAAGCATTTTTTTTTAACAATAAAACCAACCCAATACAAAATGAGGTAAGGGAGGTTATGAGTTATGACTAGGGAAAATGACTTCTAAGGGTAACAAAGTATTAGGCTTGTATAAAAAAATATTATTGAACTTTTTTTTGTACACATATCACCAATCAACTATAACGTACATATATGACCATTAAACTTCACATTTGTTCAAAAAATACCATTATATTATCGGTAATAATAGGTCATCAACCACGTAGCATGCCACGCGGCATGCCATGTGGCTGCTGACGTGGATTTTACTATTTATTATGTACACATTTTACCATTAAACTATTTTTTGTACACATTATACCATTAAACTTTTTTTTTGTACACATTTTACCATTAAACTTTTTTGTACATATTTTACCATTAATGTTATATAATTTATTGAAAAAAAATATCATTTTAAAAAATACAAATTATTACATAAAAGTAGGTTTCCCATCACGTGATGTGGATTTTACTGATTTTCTAAATTTTAGTAAACTTATCATTATAATTCATTTTCCTATCAATAAACAACGACATAATTTCAATGCACTTTTTTAATCATCAACCATAATCAAGAAGAGGGGGGATTATAATAAGGTAACATGTACAAAATGTTTCATGAGTTTATAAGTGTGTCTCAAACGTAGTTTCCTAAGAAAATGACTTATAAGAATATGTTTATTAGACATTAGCTAAAATAATGAACAATTGAGTATTTCTTCGCCACTCCAGATAGAAGTCTCAAGTTCAAATCTTGTGACTTTCAATCAATGTATGACCAACATAAATTCACAATGTAGGTGTAAAAGAAAGTGCTTAAGCTGTGTTTGGCGCGCCACAGCTAGCTTATTTTTCGAGCTTTTTTATGTTGTCGTGTTTGGTAAGCCAAAAAGTAGCTTATAAGTTAGCTTTTTGAAAAACTACTTAGACTAGCTTTTTAGGAGCTTTTTTAAAATTTTCCAAATACACTCCTTAATTAATTATAGAAACACATATTCTTACATGTCCTTTTATGTAATTTTATATATTTCAGCTAGCTTTTCAGCTAGTTTTACCAAACGTTATTTTTTATCAGCTAGCTTTTCAGCTATCAGCTAATTTTTTATTTAACAACTAGTTTTTCAGCAATCAGCTAGCTTTTCAGCTAACAGCTACCTTTTCAGCTAGTCCGCCAAACATATTGTCAAAAACAAACCCTTTCCCCTAAACCTTACAAAATCAGGGGGGTCACAATAGGTGATGGAAACCCATTTTATGTAAAAATATGTATTTTTTGAAATGATATTTTTTGAATAAATTATATAAGATCAATGGTAAAATGTGTACAAAAAGTTTAATGGTAAAATGTACACAAAAAAAAAGTTTAATGGTATAATGTGTACATAATATATAATAAAATCCATGTCAGCAGTCACATGGCATGTCACGTGGCTAGTGACCTACTATTACCGGTAACATAATGGTATTTTTTGAACAAATGTGAAGTTTAATAGTCATATGTGTACAAAAGCTATAGTTGATTGGTGATATGTGTACAAAAAAACAGTTCAATTGTATTTTTTTATACAAATCTAATACTTCATTACTCTTACAAGTCATTTTCCCTTATGACTATGTCAACCATCCTAAATCCTAACATAATGGTGTTTTTTGAATAAATGTAAAATTTAATAGTCATATGTATACAAAAGCTATAGTTGATTGGTGATATGTGTATAAAAAAATATATAGTGGTATTTTTTATACAAATCTAATACTTCGTTGCCCTTACAAGTCATTTTTCATTATGACTATGAACCATCCTAAGTCCTAACAATTTGGACATTTCCAAACCACCACAACCTTTTCTTCCTCAAACATTTACCCAACAATGTATTCAATTCACATTCATACATATTTAACAATAAATATTCTTGTAAATGCATAGTGTTTATTGTGTATTTAACCCACCGATCGATCTCTTTCTTAAAAAGGAAAAATATGAATACAAACAATAAAACCATAAGCAACAACATACTTTTAAAATAACTTAAGAAAATAAAATATGGTGTTCACTTTCACATAAAGTCAACAAAAAGATTACATAATTCAATTCCTACAAAAACCAAGCGATGGCATTGGCAGCCCCTCTGAAACTTACAAATGGCAAAATCAACCCCTACCAATAAATAGTTTTACAACTCCACCAATCATTCTTCTGTTTTCTTCTTCTTCTTCTTCTTCTCTTTCTTCTTACTTGGCGTTTCAGTCTCCTCCACCTCATCCTCCACATGTTTCCTCTTCTTCTTCTTCTTCTTCTCCTCCTCTTTCTCCACCTCAGCAACTTCTTCCACCTCTTTTTTCTTTTTCTTTTCCTTTTTCTTTTTCTCCTTCTCTTCACCATCATCCACCACACTCACTTCCTCCTCAACTCCACCCTTCTTTTTCTTCTTCTTTTTATCTTTCTTTCCTTCAGTTGCCACGTCAGCATCCACATCAGCTTCAGCTTCAATCCGCCCAAGTACAGAATCTGCTGCCACATTGTAAGTCTGCCAAACAAAACAATTTTATTTCTAATTAAGACAATGTTCTTTAAAAAAAATTAAATTAAAAAAAAAAGTATATTGCTATTTCTTGCTTACCTTTGCAGGAGTAATCATGGCCCCACCTCCTGTTTTCTGATCCTTGTTATAAAATTCAATCTTAGGCTTCCCTTTAGTCGATCCAGCTGTCTTATTAAGCTCTCTCCCTTCAAGATTCCTTAATCTTGCTTCAATCTAAACTCCCAAAAACAATAAATAAACATAAAAACAAAAGGGGCAGTTTTGGAATTTTATAATACACATAAAAAACATTACCTTGAGACGATTCTCCATGCCCATAGAATTATCTTGGTTTTCTCCAAGGGCATCATAACGAATAGCAAGGGCAGTTTTGGAAGCAAGAGATCTTGAAATTTTCCCTTTATGTTTAGGTGCAGCTTGACCTATCAAACTTGCATGATAAATAAGCCCATATTTAGGTGTTGCATGTTTAGTTTTCAAAGCCCTGAAAAGAGCTTTTTCAGCTCCAAGAATTTGCACAGTGCTTCCAGGCTGTTTTGCAAGGTTTAATAAGCTGCCACCATGGGCAATTAAGCGGGCCCCCACTAGTTCTCCAACAAGAGCTGTTAGATTTGGAGCAATTGTGTTCATCCTGCTTTTTAAGTAATCGTATAGTTGAGCTCTGTATTCTGAAAGAGAAAGAACTTGATCACATAAATCTTTGATGTTTGTTAAATCAAGTTCACTGACTTCTGTTCCCATGGATACTACAGCTGATTCTTTTAGTTCTGTTTCAATCTCTTCTGAAAGTATCTGTTATGAATTATAAAAATTGTTTAGTGTCTAAATCAATACAACTTTGAATAAAAAGGATAACATTTAGGTACCTCAGAGAAATCAAGTTTTGCAGCATTTGTTCGATAACCCATGAGCTTAACAGCTTTAGCATAAAGAATGTTGTCTGAAACAATCTTTGCAAGCTCTGGAAAATGCCAACCATACCATTCTCTAACTCTCATTGCATAGGTGTTAAGTTCTTTATCAAGGTCATCTAGAAGTCCAATAGCTTGAATGATCATTGTATCCACCTGTATAAGAATCATGTTTTACTAATGTCATTAAATCCAATTTGAATAATGAAGTGATGATGTTTGAGAAGAAAGTTAGAAACTAACCTTATCAGGACTGAATTTTAGTTTGTATCTTGACAAGCTATGAGATAGCCCCAAGCTCATTGGAGCTAAATCCTGTGATCCTAAACCGGTTATGAGTTCAGTCAATTGACTTCTGACTCCTCTCATAAGTTCCATTACAGTTTGGTTGTGAACACAATCGATTTGCTGTGAAAATGATCCGATTTGAGTGTTATTTGAACATGTAGAAAGTTAATGTTGGAAAGATACAACTAGGGTTTAAGTCGGAAATACAACTTACGAGCTTTTCCTTGATTGCGTTTCCAAGTTTGGAGTCTGCAACAGCTAGTGTTTCGCCGTCACAATGAGCACGAAGAAACTTGCGCAAGCCTTTGCTGGGCTTGCTGTCGATTAACAGAGTGGCTGCTGAAAGTGCCTCTGATGTGTTCTCAAATTTGGAGAAAGCTTTTAGCTTCACCACCTGTTGTTTGATGAGTTCATGTAGACAATTAGTGATTCATAATAGAGAAGATTTTTGAAGACGATAGGATCGTTAAAGAATTTAAACCTACCTGTCTGGCTGTGTCGGCTGATGAGAAATCCTTCCATAAATCCTGTAAGCGTAAAATCGATAAATCAATTGCATATAGTCATATACACAGAGTTAGAATAGGTATGGGATTGTATGAATATATACTCACGTCGACTTTGGAGAGCTTTCCTTCATCCAATACTTTGAAAAGGGCGAACCCCGCTGGGGTTTCGAACAGTACTAACATTTTCTCGATCCTCTGAACAGTTAGACCTAAAGAAAACAAGCAAAAGCAAGCTTAGAGATGTTTTATGTTCTCTTTTTCATTAAAGAAGAAGATCGATGTTCGAAAAAACTATGGAACCATAGCAGGGAGGAGTGTTACCTTGGGAGGAAGAGGTGAAGAAGAGGGTCTAGGGTTTAAGAAAGGCGGAAGAAAGAGTGTTACGTTTAAATAGTCGAAATCGCATTGAAACCTAAAAATGTAAAACGAAATAGAAAATTTTGTGAAAGCAAAGAAAAAAAAATCATTAGTTATATTTGTCTCTTTTCATTGGAACGCGGTTTTTAAATTTTTGAAAACCGATCTCAGAACTAGAGGTGGTAAAAATTAACACGATACGAAACCCGACACGAAATAAACGGTTTGAGTAAGATATTTCAACCCGTTTAAATAAACGGGTTGACACGACACGACATGAAAATTAAACGGGTAAGGTTAGGGTTGAGAATTTCAACTCGAATATGACTCGAAAATAACCCGTTTATTTATATGCAAATTTTTTGAATTATTTAAATAAATTAGAAATATGCAAAACCAAAACCATAAGTAAAAGAAAACCTTCTAATTGAGTCGTTTTGTAATGTTGAAATGACTTAGCTGTCTAGATGAAGACTTAATTTCAGTTTTTCCATTATCTCAAAAACTATCCAGTCTCTTTCACCAATCTCACATCCTCGCGATTTTTTCATCCACCTCTCCAACTCCCACTCTTTTAATTTTGTCATATGAACTTGCTATGCTATGACTTCATCTATTCTGCCTCCAAACTCTTAGTTTTTCCTCTCCGCCTACCTAACGCTTACTCTTTCAACATGCTTAATTTTTTAACCTCACATGACACGACATATTTCAAGGTATAGCCCTAACCCGAAACCCGACACGAACTCGACACGAAAATAAACGGGTTGACACGACACGACACATTAATTAAATGGGTCGGGTTAGGGTCAAATACTTTCAACCCGTTTAGTGTTTTGACACGACACGACACGATTGTCACCTCTACTCAGAACCGGCGGATCCAATTTCGAGACCAGGCAACCTAATTAGTAATTAGGTTAATTTTTTAATTTTGCTAATACAAAATGATTTTTATCCATTAAAACAAAAAAAAAAAATATTATACCCAACTCATTATGATACAAGTTAACAAACGGCAAAAAAAAATAATCGTTTTAATATAAATCTAAGTTGTTAAATATAAATCAAAAAATTAATATTATTTAATGTTATCTTTTCGATATTACTATCTTTAAATTGTTTTACTATTGTATATTCACATTCATATTCGACTATTGGTTTTGAAAAAAAAAAAAAATTGCAAATCTGACTTATTAGCATGTTACTTCTGACATCCAACTAGATAATCCCAACAAATAGTCATCAACGTTGTTACGCCTAATTCGTTTAAGTATTAAGTATTTTAAAATTTTAATTTTTCGGAATCGGTTCTGACGGTTACCCAATGGATAATTGTTTTTAAAAAATGGAAACAAGAACTGAAATCGATCCTTGACGATTCTCATTTTTAAGAACCGGAACCAGTGACATCGGTTCTGAAACAGTTCTGGTTTCAGACGTTTTAGACACGGTTCCAATACATGCTCACCCTAATCTCTTCAATTATGGTTTGAATATTAACTTTTAGGTTAAACTTTAGAGGAGTTTTTGTTTAAATGGTCATTATTTTTTAAAGAATAATTATTTCTCATGTTAAATTAGATTTCAAAGTCTTAATTTGTGTTCGTTTTTGTCATTCCTGGCTACTTGCCATCCTACATGACCTAAATATCGGAAAGACGATTTGATTTTGTCATTAAACTTTTCATCATGTTTTTACACTTTGAACTTTAATTTTTTTAATCATTTTTAATAGAACTAAACTCACTTTTAAGGGTTTTTTTTTTTTTTTTTTTTTTTTTTTTTTTTTTTTTTTAGTTTTCATTTTTTTAGACAAAACTATACTCAGTTTTAATTTTTTTTGAATTTATATTTTTTTCATATTTTTTTATTTATCTCCAGAATATAAGCTTTGTGACCGATTTCTTTGAGTCAATTTCTTTCCGTGCATCATCGAACGTGAGGTTCACAGAATATAATAAATTGAATAATCATTTATATGAAAATCTATTTATTATAGTTTTATAACAAACAATGTATATTGGTTGTCAAAATCACTTATTACACACAATTAGGGGGTGTTTGGATAAGAAAAAAAGAGGTGTTTATTGCTTATTCCCACAATAAGCTAATTTAAGTGTTTGGATAAAATTCAGCTTATTAGGCTAAATAGACTAATTTTAATAAGCATTCCTTCCCATGCTTATTGCTTATTGCTTATTCCCACCACAAATAAGTTATAAGTAATAAGCTAAAAATCTAATCCAAGCACTCCCTTAATGTCATTTAATTTGAAATAAAAGGATATTAATGATGTGGTGAGTACATATACTTTTAAGAATTTGAAAACATATATTACGGTTATTCTTCCTGGTAAATGAAAACAGTTTTGTCATTTGTTTTCGCATTTTGCCACATGGTTTTTTCTTTTAATTTTCATTTTATTTTTTTACAAATGTTATTTTTTGGTTTTTCTATTTTATTCAATTCCACATCATATTTAAATGCAATAATAAATAAATGCAAATTAATTTCATTAATGGATTTTTCTTTTAATTTTAAATTTACTAAATTAATGTCTCATTAGTTTCGTTTCTTTATTTATCTAAATTATCAGTTTAAATTAAAAAAAATACTTTAATTTTAATACTTCAATATTTTTCTTATTTTTTATAAATTCAAACTTTAAATGTTTAGAATCTAATATTTTATTTTTCCTTTAAATAAATTCATATAATACATGAGTCTTACATCTAGTATTATTATGTATAACAATGTTTAGCATTTCCTTATATTAAGTCTCCTAATTAATTAAAATTGAGTAACCTATATATTTGAACCCTTACTATATTTATATTTGTAATTTTTGTTAAACATTGTTTTTATTTATATTTTTTCATTTTTTTTTTAAGTTGTAACTTTTTTTATTTTTTGTCTTTTATTGACATATTTTTAGCAGAAAAATATATAAATGAGAGAATTAGCCATATTACTTTAATTAAAAAAAAACATAAAAAATCAAATTATAAAAAATAGAAAAATAACTCAAAGGACACAATTATAATATACTCTAAAATAATCATACATTTTTTGAAAAAATGTCAATTTTTTTATCAAATTGATGAAAAATAAAACCAAAAAATATGAATATATAATATATAATATGAAAACAAAATAAAAATTACTTAAAATCAAGTTAAGGTTTGACTAAATATGGTAAGATGTGGTAACAACTCTTAATCTTCATTTGTCGCTCTTAATCATCACAATACCTATGAATTTTAGACGAACAAACTTTCAATTCATAAAGAATTAAAGTATTTATGCTCAATCAAGTGTATGGGAAACTAAGTTTGATAGTTACTTCATTGGAAATAATAGATAGAAAGAAGCAAAATGACTCAGAAAGGTAATAAGTTTTTGATTTTATTCACATTAGTCACTTTCCTTTTTGTAAACTATATATCACCCAACTCGTTGAACATGTTCACATTTTACCCTTGTGACTGTTGCATGTTATAAGAATGATATGTGAACAATTTTTGTAACACCCTATTTCTAGTCGAATCATAATTCGGGGCTATGACCCAAGGATCAATTATCATAAGGATCTGGTCATTTGAGAAATAGAGGTTTAGACCCATTTGGTTGTGGATAAGGTAGGTTGTGGGTACCAAGAGTTCGGTTTGTGCTTCAGATCCCGAGGGTATAATGGTAAAAGTGATGGTTCGGGTCTTTCATTGATTAAGGATTTTAGCAACACTTTACTCATAAATAAACACAACTTTTATTCATCATCAAAAGAAATAATAGTAAACGATTGACAAGGGATAACAACACTTTACTCATAAATAAACACAATTTTTATTCATCATTAAATGTCAATTACATTTTACAAATTTCAAAATTATCTAACTACTAAGACTAATATCATCCTTCGACCCTATGCTTCTAGCATGCTGGAGATGCTTAACCCTACCCAGTCCCTTCGTGAGGGGATCTTTCGGGTTCTCATCCGATGATACCCTCTTTGCCAAGATGAGTCCTTCTTCTATACGATGTCTGATGAAATGATATTTTCTGTCAATGTGTCTAGATCTCCCATGATCCATTGGTTCCTTTGCTAAGGCAACTGCACTTTCACCATCACAAAAAATCTCTATGGGCTTCGATATAACAGGTACAACTCCAAGGTCTCCAATGAAGTTCTTTAGCCACATAGCCTCTTTTTCTGCCTCGCTTGCCGCTATATACTCTGATTCGCAAGTTGAATCAGCTATTGTCTCCTGCTTTGAACTTTTCCAAGAGATTGCTCCTCCGTTTAAGGTAAAGACCCAGTCCGACTGAGAGTGGAAATTATCCCTATCAGTCCGGAAGCTAGCATCACTATACCCTACAACTCTCAAGTCATCACTCCCACCAAGGGTAAGGACCCAGTCCTTAGTCCTCCATAGGTACTTGAGAATCTTCTTTACCACTGTCCAGTGAGCCTTACCAGGATTTCCCTGATACCTGCTAACCATGCTTAAAGCAAAGGCTACATCAGGACGAGTACATGTCATAGCATACATGATCGAGCCTACTGCCGAAGCATAAGGTACCTGACTCATTTCTGCTATCTCATCCTTAGTACTCGGGCTCTGAGTCTTACTCAGCGTAGTGTTACTTTGGATGGGTAACTCTCCTTTCTTGGAATCTTGCATGCTGAATCTCTTCAACACCTTATCCAAGTATGTACTATGACTAAGTCCAATTAGTATTTTACTCCGGTCTCTCATGATCCTTATCCCTAAAATATAGGCAGCTTCTCCTAAGTCCTTCATAGTGAAACACTTCCCAAGCCGGGATGAAACGACCCAATTTTTACGTCCGAAAATTTCATTTTTAAGGTATTACTTTAGAAAACATTAATAAATAAAAGCATTGTTTGTTCACACCATAACACATCGCAACCATGTTCTAAAAAGTCAAACCATACATCCCATCAAAATATCAGAGTACAATCCCAGTAAATCTTATAAATGCGGAAACCGAAGAGTGTGTGTATGACGTGCCGCTACCGCGCCGGCTCCTTCCCCTTCGATGCAGAGGTA